CCATCTCTCCACGTTGAATTCCCCTGAAAATCATGCTGATCTCAAGGAAGCTGAGAAAAGCTGCAGAAGCTACAGAGGCACGGCCATGCAACCTCCATCCAACAACCCTGCCACCTCCAAACCAGTTGGGCAGGAGATTAAACTTTTGGGCTGAGGAGGGTGTGTGTGCACAAAGAAACCAGCAGTTTCTATCAGTTTCCTGCCTTCTAGGATCTTTCTTCACGACTGATCAGAAAGTGCTGGTAGTATTTCAAGTGCCGAGCAACATGACAATTACCGTTTGCAGTACGGCTCCACATCCTGTTTATCCTGGTTTCCCCAGGAAGGCATTGGGTATTCTACACCCTGGCTGCTCAACCCAACTGACAAGAGTCTAAAAAAAAAAATATTAAAATGAAATTAAATGTGTCAAAGACCAGGTGAGAAAGGGCGGGGGAAGAGGAAAGGCAGAACCTGCTTTTAGATCTTAAAGTTCATACAGTCTTTCTTCACATTCTCTTGTCCTATCCTATTTATTCTGATCAACTAGCTTTAATTTTCTAGCTTTGATTTTAGGTTGGCTCTTTGTTTGATTGGTTTTTATTCTGTATTGGAAACACAGAGTTTGGATATTTGCCGGGAGTCAGTGAGGTCACCTACATCTTTGTTACGAAAACTGATTCTTTAAACAAAGGTAACATCAGAGTATCTGAAGTATTCAGTATGGCATAGGTGAAAATAAATTGGGCTGAAAAAGTTGGGAATTAATACAGATGAAACTGCGATTAGTGGTCTTGCTAAACAGAAATTCTGAAAACATATGGAAGACAGACACTGGGCCAGTTCCTCAGGAATCAGTCTGGGATTAAACTGCCACTTGTGACACCATCAGTGAATTTTTTTTTTTTTTTTTTTTAATTTTTAATGTATTCCCACGCACACATGCCCAGGCATATACATACGTACAAATACGTGTGTGTTTAATGCAACGTCCTAAAGATATCTGCCGAAGCTACAAATTTGAGAGGCACTGTCAATACAGGAGAATGATATTAAAAAATGAAAGAACCAAACAATATTGAGGAACAGAGTAATAGAAAAAGGAACCAACTGTACAAAATACGCTTAGAGAGTAACAAGAATTGATGGCACAAGGTAGAAAAATCACCAACTAAACTACAGAAAGTGTCACAAATTATTCGGAGTCACAAATTTGCTGCAAGCACACAAAAAGCCAACATAGGAATAATGTTACAGGTCACATATTTCCAGTGAAGATAAAAGCCTGCTGATACCACTCTACGCCAAGGTCAGGGATCATCTCATGCATCATCTATTCTGTGCTGGAAGAAGAAATCCTGCCCCTTGAGTGAGAATCCAAAGCATTACCACCATATAAATAACAATTTAATTGCCAGTAATAAACAAATGAGACTGCCCTAACAGCGTTCTAAGCACCCAACAAGCTTAAAATGCTGCCTTGGCACAACAGGGATCTCCAACAGAATAAAAGGTCCTGAAACCAATCAACTGTAATTCGAATCCCTGTCACAGAGCAGAAATCAAACATCACGGAAGATCGTAAATACACACGGATGCCAGCAATGGAGTTACAGTATGTTCTGCAATTGTTTTGGCTGCAACAGCAAGGGCATTACTGATATAGCTCATGACCTTTTCTGAGCCACCCTTCAGACAAAAAAAACCCAAACCAGTTGATATAGGTGTAGCATGCACCTGCAAAAGGCAGGTAAGGATGGGAAATGGGAAAGAAAATTTTAAAAATCTACACATGATAAGAGAAAAACCTGCTCCAGTGGCAAAGAACAAGAACAGATTAATCTGCACGAGGGGAGGGGATGGCTTTCTGTTAGTGCTGCTGCCATCTTGCAGTTATTTTAGGGCCAACGTTTCTTAAAGGAGATCAAATATTCTGGAGACTTGATAGAGACTGTAAAAACTAAACATAAACAACTAAACCACGAGTCATGGAATGATGATCTCAACAAGCTGCCAGTGAGAGATAAAGCCCTTTATCTGTGCCTGTATGTATATGATATATACGCACGAGGCACTGTGGGCAAGAAAAACACAAAGGGTAAAGTACTTTGCATATTTAGTCAATCATTTATTTCTCTGCTGCATTTCCAAAAGACATTTCTGTACAGATACAGTATCCAATATCAAGCAGAAGCACTTCACTAGCTTACAGATCCATTCATACAGGTGTCAGCCTTAACACCAAACAGAGCCAAACAAATGTGGAAAGGTTGTTTTCCCCTCTCACAAGTATCATTTCTTGGAGATACTCAAAAATAAATTAAAAAAAAAAAACAACAAACAAAACACAGCAGCTATTAATAAGCAGTTCTCTGCTATTCCCTCCTCAAAAAAAAAAAAAAAATCATAAAAAATACTGCATTATACTCAGTCCACCAGAGAAGTCCAGGCTTAAAAAAAAAAAAAAAAAAAAAGTTAGAAAGATATTACCACTAGAAAAACAGTAAGAAATGACCTATTGTTTTTGTTTCTGCATACTGTTGCATAATCAGCACTTGGAAAAGCTTACAGGGCTTGAAATAATTACTACTGGCATGTCAAAGTGTTTATAGCTCAGGAAAGTCTCGAGATAATCTGACCCTGACAAATCACACCAATCCACTCTTTTCTCCTTCCCCGACACAGCAATCCCAAGTTTACTTTTGCAGTCAGCCAGTAACTTCGACACTTCTCTCTCCGTACGCAACCTGCGTTCATGCAGTATCAAGGCATCTCGTGCGCAACTATACTGTACAAGAAACAGTAAAAAACGTGGCTGCAGGTCTGTATTGTGTCATCTTCTTTCTTTTCAGGCCACTTAGGAGTCACACTTGCCAAAAGACACACTGGAGCAATTCTCCCTGTAGTTACAGGGAGAACACAAGGAGATGCAGCTTGCAGTTCCTACCCTGACAGCCTCCCCAGATATTCGGAGCCCACTGGCCAACTTGTGACAAGAAGAGAGGGTCAAAGAAAATCAGAAAGAAAAAAAGAAAAAAGGTTTTGCCACGCAGAGGGAAGAACCAGCCTAGTCCTGCTGAGAGAAAGGCTTGGGGTTATGCATCGGGCTTCTCTCTAGGGGAGAGGAGGAGTCAGGGTCATGGGCAGAAAAGGAAGGGAAGGAAATTTAAAGTGAAGGGGAAATATAAGGCAGTACAGAAGGGGGAGAAAAATGATAGAATAGGGAAGAGGAGAAAAGCCATTAATGGGGAAGAGACATTAAAAACACAGGATAAAACTATTCAAATCCAGCTTCCATAGCTCCATTGCTCATGAAATACCCTGTCAGAGGCAGCTAGATCTGTCACCTTTCCTGGCTACTTTCAACATCTCGGATCAGCCAACAACAGCCCTTATCTAATTTCTCACTCGTTTTAGTTTACACATTGTTTTGATATTCCTAAAGGCTGCTACTGCTGTACGAAAAAAAAAAAAGAGATTGGGGATGGGGAGGTGGAGAACAGGAAAAAAAAAAAAAAAAAGGAAAATTTTTCTGGAGGGGTAAAAAAAAAAAAAGCTACTTTCTTGAGAGAAATTCCTCCCACTAAACATAACATCTCTACCTCCCAGCTCGCTCTATTCAAGGCTTATTTTTAGATGCTCTCTGTCCGAATCGCCACAGGGATGTTTCTTACTGATATGGCTCGGTCCCAATTCAGTCCTGCAGGAAAAAGCCAGGACTAGGACAGAGAAGCTAACACTTACCAGCAAGACTGAACTCAGCATTAACATTTGCAAACTATGAAATACGAGTTGTTACCTTCTAAAGCTTTACTTCAGTTCAACCAGCCGCAAAACTAAACCAATAGTCAGAAAGAATGAGTGATTCTTCGTCTGGCAAAAGGAGGCAGCAATACTGATTGTGTAAACCACAGCAAAGCAGGGGAAGAGCAGGCTGACAGAAGCAGAATCACAAAATCCCAGAATCAGGGAGGTTGGAAAAGCCCTTGAAGCTCCTCCAGCCCAACCATGACCCTCCCCCTGACCATTCCCAACTCCCCCAGATCCCTCAGCGCTGGCTCAGCCCGACTCTTCAACCCCTCCAGGGATCCCGGGGACTCCCCCCTGCCCTGGGCAGCCCATTCCAACGCCCAACAGCCCCTTCTGCACAGAAATCCTTCCTCAGAGCCAGCCTGACCCTGCCCTGGGCAGCTTGAGGCCATTCCCTCGGGGCCTGGCGCTGGGGCCTTGGCTCCAGAGACTCATCCCCCCTCTCTGCCCCCTCCTGGCAGGGAGTTGCCGAGGGCCAGGAGGTCTCCCCTCAGCCTCCTCTTCTCCAGACTGAACCCCCCCAGTTCCCCCAGCCGCTCCCCAGCAGACCTGTGCTCCAGACCCTGCCCCAGCTCCGTTGCCCTTCTCTGGCCACGCTCGAGTCATTCAATGGCCTTTTTGGGGTGAGGGGCCCAAAACTGAACCCACTCATCGAGGGGCGGCCTCACCAGTGCCGAGCCCAGGGCTCAGATCCCTTCCCTGTCCCTGCTGGCCACGCCAGTGCTGACACCAGCCAGGATGCCGTTGCCCTCCTTGGCCCCCTGGGCACACTCTGGCTCATTCTCACCCCCCAGTCCCTCTCTGACCGGCAGCTCTCCAGCCACTCCTCCCCAGGCCTGGAGCCCCCCTGGGGGTTGTTGTGGCCCAAGGGCAGCCCCCGGCATTTGCCCTCAGTGAAACTCCCCCAGTTGGGCTCAGCCCATGGCTCCAGCCTGCCCAGGTCTCTCTGCAGAGCCTCCCCACCCTCGAGCAGACCAACACTCCCACCCAAGTGGGTGTCACCCACACGGTGTCAGAAGGTGGTGTTGGAGTCCTTATACCATAGATGTCCGTGTCATAAACTTGAAATGATCACTGACACCTCCATCAGTTGCACCCTTGCTTGGCTGTGGCCCAGTACACCTCCTGGAGGTGGTTTAACCCTGGAACAAGGTCCACTGGACGATTACCAGATGAAGATAAGATATTTGATGATCACACACACTACCAACCTTGTTTGTTCGGGGGTTTAACATCAGTGGCTTGCCTTTTTCTTTCGTATGTGCCCCACGACATGCCATGGCACAGGGAGTGGCAGCTACTCGTAGTCGGGAGAACATTTTTTATTTTCTTTTTATATCGCACCTGGGAAGAAGAAAAGAAAATCATTAATTCAGACGCAGAGGCAGAAGAACTAATGTTCACATTTGTAGGCCATCTGTTGTAAAAGAAATACGTACATGCTAGATAAGACTCTGTGCTCAAACACGGTGATAACAACCCAAAATTGCCTTGTGGCTGCCAGGAGGGATAAAAAGAAGGAAGGCTTTACAACGAGAGTGCATGAACGAGTGGAGAGAACACACAGGGATCCTAACGTGAGCTAGCACTATGCTGCGGGTTGCAGCCAGCCAGCATTCACTAGGTGTTGTCCTTATAACTGCACCATAAACTCAGAGCAGAATTGCCATTAGCAAATATTAACCTTCCGCGGTGACCCATGCGACTGGCACCAGCGCAAACACCAGGGAGGACAGAATGGCTTGGGCTAGTGCGGCAAAACTATTTAAGCTGAGTTTTTCCAGTGGCTTTCTGACAATGAAATCTTGTGGCCTGGACAACCGAAAGGAAAGAAACTCTGTCTGTTAGAGTACTAAAACTAGATTAGAACGAAATGTAGAATTCAAATGGTCAAAATTTCACCGAACTCTGGATTCCATGCTTAGATTTTTTTGAATTCCAATCCTAAAAAGAAGTTATTTTCAGAGAGAAGATATCCTTTTCAATAAAGGATATATTTCCCTAACAAAATAAAAAATTTGTTAGCAGCACTCACGAGCTTAGTTCTTAATTTCGCCGGGTGACAACCCCTCTCAAACTCATTTTATTCAACGAATAATGGCAAGCTCTTTGGAGGCAGAAATTATCATTTATTACATGCTTGTACAACGCAGTACCACCAGGGAATATGAACTGGACTCATCTCTAAACGTCATTTCACCAACACAGAGAGCCTTTACACAGGAGCACGGCCTGCAGGAAGAGAGATTAAGATGGCAGACATGGCTCGCACGCAGTATCGTGCAGAATCCTGACATGGGAGAGGGAAAAATAGATCCCTTTAGCCTACACAGTGAGTGGAGGAAGGCAGAGATCCAGGATCGGCGGGGCAGGGAAGTCCTTTCCCTCTCCGTTGCAACTGGTGTGGGTGGGGGATCCCTACAGCCCGTGCTCCATCCTTCCCTGGCCCAGCAGCGCGTTCACATCCCAGACACACACAAGGACAGTAAAGCAGGTATGAGCCATTTTCAAGGAATGAAATGATGCATGGTTTGCATTTTTAATTTCTTCCAGATGGAAGCCAAAATTAGATTAAGGAACAAAACTTCATTATCTTAAATATAGCCTGAATACTTTAGAAGACCTTTCTGTAATCAAATTTACACATAATCAGCTTTTAAGATGGCAGACCGATCTTACAAGTTGCAATCCCGGGATTTGCTTCAAAATCTTTCCAAAAGAACGTCCAAACATTTAATATTTTGCAGCGTCAGTTTCTCTTCTATAAAGCCTAGAGGAAAGCAGCGCTGACATTCAGCGGGATCCCTTTCCCTCATCCTTTGTTTGTTTGTTTAGGCCTTGCAATTGGGAAAAGTTCCACTCAAAACCCATGTGTTTAGTTGTTTCGTGGTAAAGAACATAAATTTATTGTGTGGAGACAGGAGGAATGGAAGCCTTGCCAGCACTACAAACAAATGTTGCTTTTAACATGATAATTCCTCCCTAAACCAGCTCGCGGTGGACTAAACACAGCTGGTCTGCCAGAACTCAGGGCAGCTGAAAATCAGGAATAGATAAGTGAAATTACATTTGTGCTGCAGCATAACCAGCCCTTCGGAATGACAAATTCAGTCTTAACTGTTATGAATTCTGATTGCTCATCTGCCATGGTTACACGACCGCAAGGCCATCTCCTCCTGCACGTGAGGCTAAAAACCCATCTGTCATTACAGTGTCGTAGCAAACCTTGGCCTGCACCCCTCAGGCTGGTGTCAGGGTGGCTTCAGTCTGTCATGACCAAATACCTTTAAGACAGAATTAAAAAGTAGGCCAAACACCGCGCCTTATTTTAGTCTAATTCAACTGAAATTACTTTGTTGCAATTAAGGAGCGGTTAAGAACCAGACAAGATTGTGGCCCAGATTTCTCCTAACTTGATCAATTAATTCTCTAATCCACGAGAAAGACTTTTCAGGGTGTGATTCAAATTTTACAAATCTTACTTTCTTCTCTCCCCTGAGATGCTATACAGACACATAAAATGATTCTCTTGGTGGAGGGACCTCAGATGCATACAGCACATGGGAGGAATCAGGCTTCGTTTTCCACTCAGTCCCTCTGTTTAGATCCAAGAGATATCCCAGTATATTTATATCCAGCATAAACCTGACTGGTTACTTAGTCCTGAGCTCTCCTGCCCCTGCTCTTTTAATTGTTTCCTGTTTCACAGAATCCCAGAACCACCTCGGTTGGAAAAGCCCTTGAAGCTCCTCCAGCCCAACCATGAACCTCACCCTGACCGTTCCCAACTCCCCCAGATCCCTCAGCGCTGGCTCAGCCCGACTCTTCAACCCCTCCAGGGATCCCGGGGACTCCCCCTGCCCTGGGCAGCCCATTCCAACGCCCAACAGCCCCTTCTGCACAGAAATCCTTCCTCAGAGCCAGACTAAACCTGTGCTCCAGACCCTGCCCCAGCCCCGTTGCCCTTCTCTGCCCACGCTCGAGTCACTCAATGGCCTTTTTGGGGTGAGGGGCCCAACACTGAACCCCCTCAGCGAGGGGCGGCCTCCCCAGTGCCGAGCCCAGGGCTCAGATCCCTTCCCTGGCCCTGCTGGCCACGCCAGTGCTGACACAAGCCAGGAGACCACTGGCTTTCTTGGCCATCTGTTTCGTCTCCCATCTTCCATGTCTCTAACTCTTTTTGGCACAGACTTTTAAACCTTTTTTTAGCAAGAATCTGCCTGCAGAAGTCACCATAACTTACCCTGAAGCCACAAGGCAGGCATCCTTCCCCATCCTCTCTCCATGCTCCTGTGGGAGGGCCAAGGGCTCTGCGCTTTGCCCTCGTGGCTGTAGCAAACCTGCCCTCTCCTCCCAGCTCTGCTGGGCATCAACCTGGCAAGAATCAGTCACCTACCTGCCCAGGTCCTTCTGCTTTCTAAATCTTAATTCCTCCTCACAAATATGTAGACAATCCAGTAAACCTTATGATTAAAAATCAAGGCTAGGTCTATACATGCCACTAGTAGTTGAATTCTTTTTAAAACCCCCAGCCAAGGTGGAGGCAGCACTGGGGTAGCCATAAAACCAGCTCACAGCAGGAATTTGGGATTACACTTAACAGCTTCTCAGATGACGGATACCCACCAGACAATAAAAATATTTCAGCTGCAGCACGGTCCAACCGACAGCAAATAAGCTGCTACTTCTCTTCTGGTGTCATGGGAAAGGAAGAAGGGACACGAAGCCTCGTGCCTGGTGGCTTGTATTTACCAGCCCTGTTTCTGGGGAAGTACTTGGGGCAGGCAGCAAGGACAGGTCACAGAATCACAAAATCCTTCAGGTTGGAAAAGCCCCTCAGGATCAGCGAGTCCAACCCTCAGCCCGACTCTACAAAGTTCTCCCCTACCCCACATCCCCCACAGCTCATCCCAACGGCCCTGAAACCCCCCCAGGGATGGGGACTCCCCCCTCCCTGGGCAGCCTGTTCCACTCTCGGACCACTCTTTCTGCGAAATATTTTTCCTAATGTCCAGTCTGAACCTGCCCTGTCGCAATTTAAAAAGGTCTGGAAGAAAGGTCCCCAAACCAATACCTGGTTACAAGGAAATGATAGGGCTGGGTCATGCTGCTTTGTGGGAAGGTTTTTCAGTGGTTTACGATGGGTTTTGTGGAAGAGAAGTCAGGCTTGTGCTGGTGGTACTTTAACCGTAAGAAAAAGGAGCAATGATTTTGAGAGTAGAAGCTGATAGAGAAGGGGGAAGGGTGTCGACTGAGGGAAGGATGGGGATGTGAGAACATACACAGCCGCGCCGAGGTCGTGCGATGTCCTGCGAGGAGGAATTCAGAAGAAAGCAAAGGAATTGAAAGAGGAATAAAATTCTTGCTAAAACATTTGTCAGCATAACCAGAACAAGGATTTCTTTTCTTCTTCCAGTACCTAACAATGGTTAAGGTCTAAAGACTGCAGTTGCACCACTAGACTTAATCCAATACAACTGGTAAGTTTGGACTTATTACCGCGTACATGCTGTGTCACAATTTAAGAGAATTAAATTCTTCAGCAGAGCAGATGACAGCTCTTCTCTGTGCCTTATCAGGAGGCATCTGGCCAGGTCAAACTCATTACCAATACTGCACAAGTGCCCTTATCTAGGAGCAAATGTTTTGCTGCTGCAATTACGGATTTGTTCAATTGCAAAAGCTACTTTTAAGGGAAAGGTTCATCGTACTTTTGAAAGGTACAATTCCATTGCCCAGAGAGTCAGGAAGCTCAGTGTCAATTAAAGCAAGATCTGCTTCAATTACTGCGCAGGCTGCCTGACTTGGGGATTATCCCTAAATACTGAAGAGTCTTTCTCAGTGGACAGCAACTTGGGCTTGATGACTTTGCAGTCTTCCTCCAGTCTGAAGGATGGCTAAGCATAAATATTTTTCAAGTATTCCCAAAATCCTGTGTAAATGACAGGTCCAGTCTTTTGTGTACAGAAATCACCAAGACCTGAGTGTTAACAGGAGCTTGTTCTTGCTAAATACAAACTGGAATTATTAATTCAAAAGCACACAGGCCTCACAGAGTTTCCAATCTTTCTGGCCTCGATTGGTTTTAGGTTTTTTTAAGCACCACTGCTCTAATGCCAACATTTTCTCTTATGTACCCACAGCAATCCAGCCAGTGAGTCTGCACTACCCCGAGTCTGCTGTGGATGCACCCTTGCACTTTATTCTTTTTTTTTTTTTTTTTTAACAAACAGACAAGCCTTGCCAACCCAAGCATGACACAAACCAGACACACGCTAGCTGGCTTCATCACTTCAGGAATGATAAAGCAGTCTAAATTATTACATTAGGCAAGTACCAA